AGTATACATAAAATATAATAGACGTGCCATAGCAGTTGGGCAGACACCTTGAAGCTTCACCCTATTCATTTCAGACTCTTTTAAGCCTCCTGTAAACATTGCCTATAACATCACCAATAATTTAATTGTCTTTCTTGTTTCTTACTTCTTACTATATGCGATCCGCTATACTTTTCTATAAAATACCTTGAAATATGGACTTGCTGCAGCTAAAATAACTTTATGTGCGTAAAATAATTCTGCACCCACTTCCAGTACCACATCGGTAAGCATATGATGGCTACGCATAATGAACATCATCTTCATAGCATCCTTGATGTAATTGGACATATTAAATGTCATATCGCCGAGGTCCTCATGATTCTCCATGCCTTCCAAATCTTTTTCATCCGATGCCATGAATGATAAATTGCATCCAGAATTTTGGTATCGAAAGTTACTTCTAGCTTCCTTCCTATTATAACAAGCTCTCTTAACTTCATCCATTAAAGTAAACTGAAAAGTACCGTAGAATATAACAAGGAACCTCCCTTGCATGACACAGTTACACACTGACATACGCAACAGGTTTCTTTAATTCTACACGTACAGTTACATAGAAACGTCAATGTCATTTGTCAAATGACGATACACAGCAGATGCAACGATAAAGATACATTGCAACGTATAAACAATCCAACACACTCACTTCAATGACCAAGAAGCCAGACTCCCCCGACGGTGGACGCAAACGAAAATTGCCAAAAGAACTCGTCCTTCGTGCCAATTTCCTCGGCGCGCTCCAAATTAAGAGTAGAGAAACAGATGTGGCTGGCCCGTCATAATTCGATGATTAATTCATCAATGCTGCACCGTGACCAGGGAGATTCGGCCGAGCACGATATGGTTGCTAGACGTGCCGTGGACACGCGTCAAACTCGAAGAGGGGACGACCGTTGGTAGACGTTCAACGACGACAATTTCTTTTTCCAAGCCCCGAGACAAACATTAAACAGTGTATACGACGCTGCACACTCCGCGAACACTTGTATCCTTTCTTTTTGGAAAATCGTCATACGCGCAGCGTCTACGGTTGGACATTGAAAGCAGTCGATAACACGTCCTCCTCTTGCCTATTCTTAAACGGCGTCTAGACGATCAGCGAGCGTTATTGCCTGGTATCGCTCATACCCGAGAGATACACGTTTTGTGTATATACACAATGCGTCGGATGGAAGGCGGTGAAACAAGGAAGGCACGACGCGTTAATTGTGTCGAGTTAATTGAAATTTTGCAACGTGAGTAACCGAGGGACCGCGCGCCGCAGAAACGAATACAAACGAAAGTTCGTCCGTGAAGCAGCACTCGTGATCGTAGATGACGCGAATGACTTGCAAATTCTTTGGTTCGCGCTTACTCTGCTCGATGAACCACGTAGCTATCGCGTCGCACGTTGACTCTGTACTTTTCGGCCCGGTTGTTTTCTCTGCACCTTTGAACCACCGGTTCCGGTGCTTTTTCACGTTTCACGGTTCGATTTAGAGATCATTTGGCGGGTCTCTCGCCCGTTGCACGCGCGACACGCGTATCAGGTCCGATAAAGTTCTGTGTACGCATTATATCGGTCCAAATATTTTACGTTATTCATTTTCTAATTGCCCATTAATTTGTACGCAGAATCGATGTCTGGTAGACTCAATGCGTAGTCACCTACTGTGTGCGTTGGTGTAGTCGAAGCTTTCAGGACAAATTGATTCGTCACTGAGATTCTCATTTTCAGATTTATCTAAGAGACATTGGTTTCCGCGGTCGTACACCTGTTTTTCAAATTCTCATGTTTACGGGTCGAAATAATGGGTACGTTTATGGAGGGGAATTTTCTTTTGTTAATATATATATTTTTTGTCGCTGATAAACGAGTAGAAGTCAAGATACACGTATGAACATGATAATAGTAATGATTAAGTAACGTAATTATTGTATCGTTAATCTGTGCGTTTCACGAACGAAATGAAGTGAAAAAGCTCGTTACTTATTTATAAATGTTAAGTAATTTGTTTCCATGTATTTTATGAGTCATAGGATAAGAAGTGAAAGGTATCGCGCTTTTGTGCGTCGCATGATTTTAGCAGTACGTTCACGGTGAGACAAATCAGGAACCACAATGATAAATTTGTTATTAAATATCGATTTAATTTATATAATGTAGTGTATACACATAAGATGAAGGCGAAATATTTTATAATACTTTTTTTTTCTTTATCTCGGGAAATAAAAGAATAAGGACGAAACTGGAACCTTTAAATTCGTTTGAATATATGCGTAGTAGATTGTCAGGAATATTGTATTCTAAATTATTATTTTTTCGTTGAATAATTTCTTCGATATTGTTTTTAGGTGAAAGTATTTATCGATGAAAGTCGTGGATAAAGATATATCGATAATATACCTGTAATATCGATCATCGTTAAGCGTCGTTCGTTCAGGATCGTTCGCTCGGAATTCGTATGTGGTGTTGGAAGAATTAAGAATGCTGTGTATCTTGAGACAATATATTTATTTCTTATTAATATGGAGTTTTCAACAATAACAGTGTAATAGTAGGCGTAACAAGAGAAACGAGGTAGGTTACGAGGAACCTAACCTAATACCGTACGCCAACAAGTCACCGCATTAACAGAATACTCGTGATCGTATGGCTACACAAGGTTTTCCTACATTTATGCTCTACAATAATTATTATTTCACTAAAGTTGCATGCATCGTGCTCTGTTTTTACCTTGAACTCGAAATAGATCAGATACAGATTTTGCAACTTTAATGTAATCAGTAGACTGCGGATATGTTGGTGCGGGTTCAAGTTTTCATAGATGGATTCCCAAATTTTAATGTTTAATATAAACTTATTCTCTTTGTAAAGTCTTTCAATGTATTTGGAGTAATGCAGAAATTACATTGAATTTTACGCATGAACATCCGCAGTCTAGTAATAAGATTACTAATGAGATGTGATATGGAATCAAATACATCGCGTTAACAAAAACTTATACTGTGTATGAAATTTCAATGGTATTCAAATTTGGAGTATCTCAATTAGTGACTGTCTTTGATCATTAAATTCTATACAATCGACAATTTGCAAAGTTCCATAGCAGTGATCATTGAAAATATATAGCTTAACAATATGGGCATTTTGTTCCATATATCATTCAACTGTTTGTGCACATAGAATTCAATGATTAAGATGCTTATACATCGAGCTGTCTTCTTTTCATTTATGTTCGTATGTCATATGAGATGATGAAAACATTTTTTCTTAAATTGAAGTCATTTTTATCAGTGCGTGAGATGTATATTTGCAATATTTGATATTTGTCAATGAATTTTGATCATTTAAAATAAAGTATATCGTGAAATATTAGATTCGGTATGTTCACGTTATTTGGCAGGATATTGAAATCAATAGAACATTAGTTGAAATTATGGCAGTGCTTCGTAGTGTATAACAATCTTATTGCCATTAGAGATGGAATTAATATATTATGGCTAATACAATGCTAATAATAATATTTTAAGTACTAGAGTTATATTTCTAAGAACCAAATAATAAAGATGCACTTAGACTTATGAAGCAAAGACAGCTAGTCTTTTTTATGAGACTTCTTTCCATCATTTAAATTTCCGATTGCATTAAATGCTCTCTTGAAAATTACTGTCAGCAGTTCATAATATTGATTTAATCATTGGCAAGAAAAGAGCAATATAAAGTTGGAAGTATATAAGAGTAATTGTATTTGAAAAAAAGTAATATAATCTTTTCCTTATATTATGTAGGCCGATTTACATTTTGCAGTAATCTTTGCATTATTTTCCTCGCGAATCATTAATGGAAACAACATGTGATCAAACAAATATGTTTGCTCTATTCTTTTCATACATTTCAACTGTACAGGGTCTTGTTGGCGCACAATGAAGTAGGGGGCTCAACCTTTAATTCAGTGCAATAATATCTCTTCAGGTATCTAGTAGAAGACACGTATGTACAAGGACTTTCAGAAGATAGATTTCTTTTATACATGCCTGAATGAATTACAAATACAATATATATATACACATACATATATATACATACATTGATGGATATATATGCATGTACATATATTTACATATACATATATTTTTATACGTATATACATAATCACTACTGAACCAAATTATTGGCAAAACCCACTTATCAAAAAATTATAGCTACAGTTAATGTAATAAGTCTATTTTTGATTTATTTAGGCTTGGGTGACTCTAAACTGGCCCCCTATATTTGTATCTTGATTACCTCCTGAATTAATTGCAGTACAACGTTAAATGCAAATCAGGAATGTATCTAAATCGAACGAGATAAGGGATAAAAGTATTAGTATCTTTGTCATGTTTGTAATCAATGTGTACGCTACGTGCTTATCAACGACACATCAGATAGAAATGAATGAGTAATGCAATTATTCAGAGCACTTTCATCGGTAGCAGTCACCTGTGTGTACATATGCGTGTACATATGTTTGCGTGTGTATAATCATACTGTAAAATTGAAACTCATCAAAGATCTGATTGCTATGAATGTTTCAGCATCGAACGAAATTCGTATAGTTCACCGGGAATTCGTCGACACTGAGGAATTTCACCTGTTAACCGGGGTGGATGAGATTCGACACGTCATTGGTATTCTGAACTCCCGTTTTCAGTGGCTCTCCGTTTCCCTACTCATCAACGATCGGCTAACGAGACCCGGTTAATAAGTTAATCGAGACAAGTCCAAATACAACGGTCTACCGTGAAAACTATCAAACTAAACGTCTAGCTCTACCTCGAATAGTAATATAGAGAAAGTTGTTGTTCGTTCAGAATATGAGATAATGTTTTCCAAGTAAAGAATTGGGCGGATCGACTACTCCTAAGGCCTCACTCATCAATTATTTAAAATTATAACTTCTTTTTCATTTTTCTTCCTCTTTTCTTTAGTTCCATATACATTCACTCTACAAAGTCTAGAATCGGATAGCAGGAGCAAACGAGAAAGAGAGAGAGAGAGAGACGACACACGGAGAGAGAGAAAGAGGAAAGTGTGTCAGGAAGAATCTGTCGAGACCGGTGAGAAGGGAGACCACATCCCCCTGATCGGAGGGTGAAAAAATTCGGGGGCGCGGACATCGATGAACAACATTTTCTCTCTTTTTCTCTTTCTTCCTTTCGTTCAATTCCGAAGACGATGTCTCGCGCAATTCCACGGACAAATCTCACCGCTTATCGCTCCAACGAATCGACCAACACTAATGCCACGCTTCATCTACGAGTACAGCAAACACACGATTATCTTTAATGTTTCCTCCTCCACCCCCTTCGCCTCCCCGGAATCGATTACTCTAATAACACGCGATTTAATATGTCTTAAGGGATTAATTAAGGTTACGCTACGCGGCGGTGTTTGCTGATAAGGATTCCCCCGGTACAAAAGCGACACACATTTAACCTTCGACCCCTTCGTTCGGCCGGGGTGCGTTACCCGTTTTAAAATGAGCCGGGGACGCGGTTAAACGTCACACGAGCGTGTCCTTTCGTCCAAGTCAGTGGTCGTTTCACGCCGAGAGTTTGTTGAGCGAGTCTCTCTCCCTTTTACTAATGATAAAACTGGCAGTATGCAATATATTATCCGATTCACCAAGATCTTCGTGCGTCAACGGTCTCTCTCCTAGTTTAACGATCTCTTCCTCATCTTTGGTGTCTGTTATATTGGTGGACGAACGAGTCCCTCTTAGGGATTGTATCTGTACAACAGCGCGCGCGCGCGCGCGTGTGTGTGTGTGTGTGTGTGTGTGTGTGTGTGTGTTTGTTTGAAATCACAATAAAACCCAGGCAAATCGAATGAACCGCGAGACGAAGTAAGCGATCAAGAAATATCGTTCGAGGCTTGTACGAACACACGCGAATAAACAAGTGAATCGTCTCTCTTTCGTTTCGACAATCAAGCCTCATACTATTCTATATCGTCGACTTACTGTCGCACGAGGGATCGTCTTCCGGTTGCATCCCGATTTTCGGAAGCACGCCTCGCACGGAGGGACACGCGTTCGTTCGCGAACGGGACTCTGGAGCAGGAGCTGTCGTCGCACGCTTTTGAAACGTGGACGAACGACGAAACGGAAATCGAGAATAGTGTACGGCAGTGCAGAAATGTCGGCTACGTTTCTATCGTCTCATATTACAACGAGGAAAGACTCGCTCAGGCTGACGGTTAATGATAGAGTTTAAAATGCCAACAAGAAAATATTTTAGTACTCGGTTCAAGTATTTTTTTTTCTTTTTTTCGCTACTCGTTAAGACATCTTCCACTACTGTAGTTCATAGCACTTTTCCTGTCTTGTCTCTTCCGTTAATCAACGTATCCTAAATATACAATTATCAATATACGCAACAACATGCACAGACAAAGAGACTTTCCCTTGTTCGTCGAAAGTCTCTCTCCTGTCGTTGTTGCACAACACCCCCCCCAACCCCGAATTCCCCTCATTCTACTCCAGGTACTGGAGGACTGTCTATGTTTTTTCTGTGTATGTATCGTATGTACGTGTACGCATGTTTTTTTTTCGTTTTTGTTTTAAACACTTTTTTTTGTCGTTTTTACCTTTTTGTTAAGTTGTCGGATTCTTCTACAAATTGACCTATAAATTTCTGATATTGCTTAAATCAATCAAAGCCCCTCAGAGGCAACGATCATCATCATCCCCGAAGCGCCCGATACTTGCAAGAACCCTCAAAACGGCGTCGCAGTCTATCAAGGGGGATGCAGATCGCGATGATGCGCTCTGGCGGTCAAGATGGCTTTCAGCTCGGACTCTAACTGCTTTTTTGTTCGTTCGCTTACCGATCGGCCTCCCACGACCGGTTGGCTGGTCAAACGCGGCGACGGGAGGTCGGCCATCAGTTTGCCGCCGGTGTCCCGGTTCTCGTGGCTCCTCGCGCGTCGTATCGGCTTCTTGATCGGCAGTCCTGTCTCGTCGATCGTTTTCCGGCTCTGCGACCCGACCTCCTGCGCCGTCTTCTTCTCGTGCGGAGCACGTTCCAGCGACAAGGTCATCTCCTGGTTCAAGGTGTACGTCGAACCACCACCACCACCACCACTACCACCTGCGACTGTCTCGGAAGATCTGGTCAGGTCGATGGTACCCGAACCCCAATCCCGGGACAACTTACGACCGACGGCGGATGTTAGCGCCAGCGGAGGACTCTTGGACATCTGATGGCTCGTCGAGTGCGGCAGTCTCAACGTGGCGAACACTGGGAAGGATTGCCCTCGCTTCGCCGGACTCCGGGAGTACCTCGGAGTGGTCGCTGGAGCGGCGCCTGCGCCGGACTGATCCGTCCTGGTAGTCGACGGGCCGGTGCCAACGGTGTCGCTCCTGGTCAGAGCCAAAGGTCGCAGGGTCGCGCTGCCGCCGAAGTGAGAGCCCAGGCGAGGAGGCGGCGAGCCACCGTCGCCGTGGCTCAGTCGACGACCGACCGTTTCCAAGGGACTCCTCGCTCGAAGATTCGTGCTGCTCAGAGTGAACTCTCTGGGCTTCATCGGCGCCTCCAAGCTGACCGGGGACAAGCCCAGCCTGGAGCTCGACAGATTGGTGGAACTCCTGCTCTTCTCCGACCTCTTCGGACTGTGGGGCATCAGGGGACTTTTGCTTCGGCTCCTCTCTCTCGCTTTCAACGACTTCTCCTCTTTCTTGATCGTCGAGACTTTCTGTTGCTCCTCCGGCACCGTTTCCGTTTTCTCCTCCTGTTGCACCCTGTCACACGGTGGTGTGTTGTTAGTAGCGCTCGATTCTCGAGGGGTCGGCTAATTAGTATTTACCTGCGAATCTCCTGGATCATCTCGAAAAACTGAGTCTTACTCTTGCGCCTCTGACGCTGTTCGTGTTCCTTCTAGAACATGGCCTCCTTGTAGATATATATATGTATACACGACAGTTGGGGGAACGGACAACCGTAGAATTAGAAATGCACTTACTCGCTTGACGCTTTTCTGGAAGAGCGAAGCTATTTGCCCCTGTCTGACCGTGTAGACCAGCTCCCTCGCCGCGTGGTGAGGGGACACCAGTTCCACGCAATTGATGAACCTGTACAGCTTCTGCGAGAAGAACATCACGTTCCGACTGCGCCATATGGACTTCTCCGGCCTGTGTCTCAGCCTGGGCAACGTGTATTTGTAGAACAAATGTTCTCCGGCTAATATGATGGTTCCAAGTACCACGCCCATCCCGAGGAAGCAAAATACACCGGCAACAGACGCTACGCCTAGGGGTCTGGCTTGACCTCCTAGCTTATGCTCTAAACTCGTGTCCATACCTTTTCTTCCTCTGATGCAGGGCAAACCGCCGTACCTATGAAAAAGAGACACGCTTGACACGTTGAGTGCGGCGCCGATTTTGCTATACTTTCCGCTCAGGCGGCAGCGCGCGAGCATTTGATGCCGAACGCTAAACTAGACCGCGCGACACAGCGCAACAGACGATTCCTTTTTTTCACTGTTTCTTTTGTCGTTTTCACTGTGACAATGGTGCAGGCAATGCACATGTATACAATGTATAAACGTAAGATAATGAGGTGGGGAATGCCAAAGAGACAAAAGTGCGAACACCAAGAAACGATCAGCCTGAAAAAGCCACAGGAGTACACTAAATTTTAACGTAAATTTTTTCATTGTCATTAATAATTTAACCCTTTAAAATGCTGCCTCATGCACCGATGTCGACCAAACGAGAAGTTCGCTGTCAGTCCCTAGAATCCACGCCGCCCAAACGAAAAGTCTACTGTCAGTCCCCAGGGACTGACGTAGCACTCGACGTGTTAACTTCCGAGTCAGTTGAAATTTCAATAGATCCTTTTTCAAGTTCTTACCATTTCTCCTGCAAGATGTCCAGTAATCCAGTACTCGTGTAGTTCGCTATCACTTTGGATATGCTCTCTTTCAAAGGATGCCCCTTGGTGAGAGCAACCGCGTACGTGTCCTCGTTTATGGTGTCGCCTATCTTTTGCAAACGACAACCGTCGTCCGTCGCCCGGTAAAAGTCTAAAATAGGTGTGTCCGCTATGAGGATATCTAAGCTACCGTTTCTCAATCTCTCCACACCCTCGGCGACGTTCGATATAGAGTACCGTGCCATGTGCGACCACAGTTCCGGATTCGCCTTTTGTACGTAATACTCTGCCGCGGACGCTCTGGGCGCGCCGACTTTCTGCAACAGCAACTGCAACACAACTTATTATGAAGCCGTCGAGGTACACGCGATTGGATTCGCTTTGTTAGTTAAAGCACCACTCACGCTTTTGTCGTGATAGTTGCTGCTCACTGCAGAATGAAAGAACAAGTCCGCTATCAGAGCTGCTATGTTAGCCGTATACGTGGCTACGAATATGACGGAGAAGCCGCCCCAAATATTGATCAAAAACTTGTTAGGCCACGACTTGGGCGCTTTGAAGGCGAGCAAATGCCCGCACAGGAGACCCCACATCACCCACCAAGCGGAAGCTATCGAGAAGTTTTTGCTTCGTTGTCTGCCCCAAGGGTTCAGCCCGAACGGGCTGAACCATTCGTACAACGCCACTGCCATAGCAGTGCAGTTCAAGGATGTGAACACCGCGATCCACAGCTCTGTGCTGAACGGGAAAAGAAACGCGAACAGCGATATCGCAGGTTTCAGCTTTGGCGCGGTGAGGAAGCTCACTCCGCTGAAGTAATAAGGCGTGGTGAAGTCGACCACTTTGGCTCTGTGAGCGGACACGCTCAAAGGCGCGAACGCCAACTGTGCTCTGCCAGTGACAAGCTCTCCCATTATACCGTTCCACGTACCACTTCTGCCGTTCCTTTTCCCAAAAAGACCATCCTTCACCACGTACAAGTCATAACGAAATCCTAATTCGCGGGACACCAACGACATCAAGTCCATGGTTAAACCGTAACAACACATTATCGTATTTCCATGGTAACAGAAGATCCCTCTCAGGCAAATACCTTCTTGCAAGTTCGTTACCATTGTGAACGGCGATGCGAGTGCTGTTACTATACGGTACATGGGCATACCTATCTTTTCGCCACCTTGTTCGAGATAGGCTGGCACAATTCCACCTCCGGGCCAAACGATAGTGTCAAGGTGGACCTCTTTGCCACCTTTAACTGTTCCTACTTTGGTCCATCTGTCGAACGAGATGAATAAAGTCCAAGATTACTAGTGTGCGATGGTAATTGTAAGATGGAAAAGGACTGTGCGTACCTTAATTGAGTCTTGTTACCAGGGAATCGTATAGCTTGCAAGTTTAGCAAATGGAATTTAGCTTTGTCCTTTGAAATCTGACCCACAGAGATTCTCAGTTTCCTTGTTAATATCTTGGAAACGTTCCTTCTTATCTCGCTGTTTAAAAATTTTGCTCTGCTCCCTGGAAAGCATTCTGGGATAAAGTTGTCGTTCAACTGTGACTCCCCTAAAGGGCTCAGTTTGGATTTCATTTCTGAAAATGTTTCGTCCAACGCCTGAGAAGTTTCCCTTATCATTCTGGATAATAATGTATCGCTGCCCATTAACTTTATATTGGAGGGTCTCAAAGCAAGCATACCAATTGGCATGAAATCTTTCGAATTCAATTCTTTGTCTGTGATTGTTACAAAATCTTCGTCGTCGTCGAAATTAAAAGGTTTTTCTTCTTGTTTGGTCGCAGCCTGATCGTTTTGCCATCTGTATTCTTGCAATCGATGTATGTCGTTAGCTAAACTGGGCAAAGCGTTCATCGCTAATTGGTTTTCAGCTAGAAGATTGGTGTTTCTGTTTGTGTTCTCTACCGATCTAGGATTATCGTTTGTCGCAATCGCCGCTCTTGAGCTGTGTATAATGTGCGAGCTAATAATATTCGGTTCGTTAGGTCTCAGTTCAGCTTTAAGATCCAACCAAAGCCACAAAAATCTTCCAGCGAGCATCTCAAATTTACCAGCTGCAGCGAGTATTCTTCGTGCGCTGTTCAAATCGCAACCCATCACTATTACTCCTCCACTTCCCCCTTCCTCTGCTACTCTTCTCAATCTCATTCTCAATGTTTTGTCATTCGTTGGAAGGTGTATGATGGTTCTGGGCGTTAAAGTTGGTTGATTCGGTTGCAACAGATGACTTACAGGAAGCAAAGTGGTATCGATGAGAAGGGTGAACGCATGCCAGTTTGCTCTATGCATTAATGCAGCAGCAGCTGCACCTACTTCTTTTGTGCTTGAACCTATACGACTTTCATATGGTGCACGGTTTCCCTATAGTGCAAAAGTATTGATTAGCTGCATAAAAAGTGTATCAGGAAATTAGGTGAGCTCAGACTCACCTGTTGCAGGAAATCTTCATGTGTCAGTGGTAGCCATAATGTGGGGAGATTCAAAGCAGCCGCAGCGGTCACCAGAAACCTAGCTGCCGCCTCTCCACCAATAATAAGGCTTAACGCTGTTTTTCCGCTTTTAATTTCAGTACAGAATTTGTTTAGTAACGATAAAGGATACGACAGTGCATCTGTCTTTGGTGGAGCTTCTATATAAAATAGATTGATATCTGCATGAGACGATTGTAGTTTCGCTTTTTCCCATGCCTTTTGAACATCTGTTTTGTAAGAGCTTTGTGGCTGTGTGAAGCATAACACGACACGCCACGAAGAGTGAGGTGACTGAAGCCGTCCTTTGTAAGCTCTCACAGTCCTGGTGGCATTTGTACCGCAGAGGACTACAGAGTAAAACGAAACCCCTAATAAAAAGAGGAATATCGCTTTCCAAGGGCCAAGCATCTTCGAGTTCTGTCAGTTTCCCCTCTTCTTTGTTTAATTAGCTTTTCTGATTCGCATTATCCATGTAAGATTCTAATCTATAATTATCGAAAACATAGTGATCAGGAATATGACATGCATACATAGATATATATACGTATATCCATTTATAATGTATATACATGTACATTATTATATACTATATATTGTGCATATATTACGCTCAAAGATATATGTATATTATTTATTTATAACCATACATACATACACATATGTATATACATATATACACACATATATATGTCTCTCTATATATATAATATAGATATTTATACACACACATTCACACATATGACTATACAATACTTCTACATGTACCATGCATAATTATTTTTCGAAATTCTATTAAAAGCCATTGTCAACTTGTCAGCGTTTTGTCAATACAATTTATATTTTTAATCTTTTTCCACGAACATTACGAAACGTTTCAGGTTTTTCCAACGGGGATGATTTTTTTCAGTAACGTCGTGATCTTCCGTTTGCCAATGGCCCACTCTTACCACGAAAATACGGTAAATCTTTCTCGGGGTGCATACTTCTCTCATAAAATTCCGAGGAATTTCTTTTCTCTATCGCAATCTAGTGTACGAGAACGCGCGCTGATACAGAGAGAGCAGAGAGTTTACCTTTCATCGAAGCAAATCGTATGTCGTGGATCCGGTGGTGAGTGAAGAAAAGTCCGAGGATCGCTTCTTAACCGCCACATAATAGCTATCGATTAGGTAATCGTATCAGTTGGTGTAAAATACTGTCAATTGGTCAATGTGGAAGACAGGGATGAACCGTCACTCGCTCTCTTCTCGACGACCTACCCTGTGTATGACAGCCATTTTCGAGCAGCCCCTCCCTTAAAATTTCGACCCATACTACTCGCGCAGAACACCGTCTATATATGAGTAGTTTCGCGGTGCCTTCTCACTGTCACATTTTCACCTTTCAATTTTAACACTTTTTCTCTCTGTAAAATATAAATCGAATTCTTTTTAATAAGCCGAGTCTCTTTAAGTCTCTTGGTAACCTCTAACCCGGCGTTTGTTTTTGTTTTTTCTCTGACACATAAATTGGACGATATCGTTTGAGAAACAACAGGGAAACTTGGAACAGGGAAAAGAGATAGAATCGTAAACCGTTTGGCCGGAAAATATGTTTATATATATTTGGAATCTTCCTTAATTTACATATGCCTTATATACATATATGCTTACGCCGCGTTACGCTTAACAGAATAAGTGATCTTACAAGGCTTTATATATATATATATATGTATGTATTATATATATATATATAATAATTAAGATGCATATACACAGTAGCCATTCAAATGCAATTTCAATTTGAATTTCACCATTGCTATGAATCCATTACTTCTTTCGTCGCTACAGCTAAGACAACATAGCTGGAATGTAACACAGAGTTGTCTTAAAATTAAATAGAATAATTTCTCGGGTTTTTCCGCTAGGAACTACCTTAATCGTGGACATAGGTTTCATTTTTTTCTTTCTGCAACACGTAACAGTCATTAGAATTAACTAAATAAATTTTGCTGAGAAGCGTCGTTCTCGAACGCGCTCCAGGCGTTGTTCAGTTCCATGAAAATTAATTTCGCTATGTTCTCGTTGGCCGTTCCTGCTTGCTGAAATCAGAGAAACGGAAAGCCGGTTATCATCTCGAGATTAACAGGAATTATCATCCCCAGGTTGTATTTAAACGCGATTAATCTTACTTTATCCGGATGCACTGCTAGGCAAGCTTTCCTGTACGCTTTCTTCACATCCGCGGCCGTGACCAATTGATGCATCTCGCAACGTTGCCATCTGTCAGCTTCCGGCCAAAGAACGGTGTGCATCGAGCAGAGCAGTGCACGCAGGTTCCCCTTTTTCCCCTCTGTCCATTCCGCTATCTTCAGTCGGTCCGGATCCATAGTCTTCGCTGCCTCCACCTTCCTCATCTGATTTATTGTCTTCGGACTGTCCTTCTCCGCTTTCCTTGAAGTGAAGAAATTGTATCCCTGACTACCGAGTAAATCCTCGAAGGCATCTCCACCCGATTTGGCCGGCTTGTTGCCGGACGCACCGTTGTCCGCGGTGCTGTTATTGGTCTCGTTGGTTACATTGGATTTGTGCGTCTTAGGGCTCGAATGAATCGGTGTACTGGCTGGCGCGGGACTAGCGGACTGCGGAGTATTCGAGTTTCTCGGTGTACCGTTCCAACTGGACGTCAGGCCGGCCCCCAGCGAGTTGGCGAGGTTCGCGAACGGGTCTTTGTTCTGCGCCGCGAAGTTCGAGACACTCGAGTTCCGCGGGAAGCTCTCCTCGCCGCTCGGCGACTTCGCCGGGTTCGCTTTGACGTTCTGCACGCCGCCGAGCAGGTTGTTCGCCGCGTTCCCGGCCAACGGATCGAACAAGAAGTCGTTCACCTCTTGCTGCTTAACGGTGGGCTGGCTTTGATTGAAGAACAAGTCGTTCATATTGTTATTGGCGTTATCGTTTCTAGTAGGCTGGCCGTGTCCGAACAACAAGTCGTTTTGGCCAGAGTCGTTGATCGTCGGCACCGCCGCGCTCTTCGGCTCTTGCTGAGTAAAAACACCGAAACCTTCTAAGAGATCATTATCGTTTTGACTAGAGTTCGAAAAAATATCTAATCCCGGGTTCGCCGTCGGTTGCGGAGTATTTAAGGTACTGGTTTCCGGCATTCCAAGATTCAGCAGATCGGCCTCTTGCAGTTTGCTCTCCTCTCTCACTTCCTCCTCCGTGTCCTCCGCCGGCTGAAGTATCTCTCGTGCGCCGGTGTTGCTCGGCGCTTCGGCGACGGGCGCAGTCAACGCTTCCTTCTGAACCTGGTGAAACGAGAGAGCGTCAGAAGAGTCGACAGTGTCGACGCTCTTTGGGATACTTACCTCCTCTGGACGAGCGGTCCTGAAGTTCTCCAGTGTCTCTTCCATCTCCAAAGTGGAGCCGAACAACGGATCCGGTTCCAGTTTCGACGTGGGCGGCTCCGCTTCCCACGGGGCCGGTACTCTGGCTAGTTTCGAGTTCTCCTCGGCTACCGCGATATTCAGCACCACCCGGAACTTGCCGCCGATCTCGGGAACGTCGTCCAAGTCTTTCTTCTTGAAGGTTAAAGCGGTTTCGTTTAATGGTATGTAGCCCGTGTGGAAGTGTAAAGAGGCGATCTTAATCCCTATCACGCGACCGAGCTGCTGCCGGGCGTGGAACAACACCAGCGTGACGTCCCCGCGAACGGTTGCGTTCCCCAACGCTAAAGGGACTTTCCCTTCCATCATGCCGTACAGTCTCATCTCCTCGTATTCCGGCCGCTTCGTGGAGAACACTAACGCTCCGTTGCTGTAGATATCAATGTACGGCCGGCAGCCGTCCTTTGCTCTAGTGAACAGTGGCACCGGTTGTATAATTAAAGAACGAAGCGCCAGCGGCTTGGTATGCGGATGCATACCGCTACTCAGTAAGCTCATATAATTAATACTACGTAATTCCGATGGTTGCAACTGAGGCGGCTGGCAACGCCTCGTGGTAAACAGCGTTATCGCCTCTTCGGGGGTTGTCAGTGCTTTAGCGTAGATGAGTAATGTACATGCGATTGTAGCGCTTGCCCGATACCCGTCCTAAGAATAAGCGAGTTGTCCGAGTTATATTGAATTTTATATTTAAATATCAATCAAGTATTTAATAATCTATATATATGTATATATACTTACGGAACAGTACAACACTACTACATGGTTGAAGTCCGCGTTTAAGTACCGATAAATATCTTGACAAATTTGATACAGCGCCGATAGCAGAGGGGCGTTCGAATCCGATGAAGCGTAGGCGAATGAGCAATCAATATGTCTGCCAGGAAGCCTAGACACATTTGGCCGTCCACGAGATAAATTGTATAATTGAATGCGAGCTGGAGGTGGATGTCTGGCTTGAAGGAACGCTCTGACGTCCTCCACGTGATTAGCGCGATAGGCAGACTCTATTCCGTCTGCCGGATATGGCATTATCAGTATCCGAGATGTTAAGTAACTCGCGTCCAGTTCAGTCCTAGCCATGCTCTGTTGCACGGAATGCATCACTTTGCTAGAGGTATCCTTTAAATTACGTAGAATGCTACCAGCACCACCTTTTAACGAACTAAATAGGCCTGTCGGTTGAGCTACTGGAACCTTCACCACGGCTGCTTGAACCGGTGCCGGTCTTGGGGGTGGAACGCTTACTGGAGGCGACGGTCGTGGCGGTGGAGCTGGCGTACTAGACGGTGGAGGAGCAGGTCTAGGAGGCGGCGGAGTTTTCGCGACGACTTCCACTTTCGGGGGTTCCCTGGGATCGATATTATTTGACTCCGCTATCGCTGCAAGGCGTTCCAGGATCATTGATGTTGTGAGCCTTTTCACAGGGGACACTTCCAAACATCCCTTCACTATATCGTAGAAACAGCTTACACGCGGATTAGAAGGAAGCGGGGGATACTTCCCGTTAATTATTGCAAGCTTGTTTCCTGCGAAAACAACATTGTATCAGAAATTATAACGGTAACGTTTGTAGGGGTATAAATACGTACCATCGGGAAACGGATGCTTCAGCGTCACCAAGGTATACAAAATACAGCCGATTGCCCAGCAATCGACCGGTGGACCAATCGGTTCATTGTTCCATGTGTCCATAATCTCTGGAGCACGATACATGGGTGTCGTGTACTTTGCCATTTGATCTTCTAATGTAGCACGTTTTTGAGCATTCCATGATGGATTTGGTAAAATTTGTTGAGTAGAAGTACTTCCAAAGTCGCAGAGTTTGATCAGACCGTCGCTTCCGATTAAGAAATTTTCTAGCTTTATATCTCGATGTACAAACGGCTCTGGCTGTTGATTGTGCATATGATGTACAGCCCTAGTCGCCTGATAAGCTATTCTACAAATTTGGGCAAGATTCAAGGAATTCGAGGATAAGTTTCTTAGTATATCCGCCACTGTTCCACCAGGACAATACTCCGTCACCAATAAATACTCGTATCCTTTGTCGTGTTCCAAGCGTTGAGCATACAGATATTGAATTATATTTTGATGACCCGTTAACTTTTTTAGAGTCTCTATCTCTTGTACAATAGTTCTGTTTGTTTCTTCATCGACCGCGATGAGCCTCTGCAAATATGGATGTGTGTTAGTACAAATTTCATTTGACACAATAACATTGATACAAGCATAATGTATTTCACCTTAAGCGCATATTCTTTTCCTGTATTAATATCTTCTACAGCAAATACCAAAGCCCAACCACCTGTTGACACAATGTTAGGCATACATCACTTAAATACTGACAATAATGAATAAGTAAGACAAACACATATTTCTCTAAAACAAAAGAGAAAGTTAAATGTGAACATTCAAAGGTACACTCTGAATTTGCGTGCTTTTGATCGTGTCTGAGCATCTACCAGGACAAGAACACGGTGTAAAATATTTAGTGTGTACTGTACAGCCAAATGTCAAACTACACTTACATGTCAAAGAATTTTTTAGAACTCGTTATGCTAACAAAGTTTCGGCCGATTATTTCGCGCTACTTCTAAATAGCGTTGTAAGAGACGAATATTTTCACGATGTTACTGAGAATGATCATCAACGGGGAGGCATCTTATTATAAAAAAATGGTATAGTGATCGAGTGACGAAAGGGTTGACAGAAACTCACCCTCGGCGAGTAGCCTGGTCACGCGTAATTTCACATTGTTGATTTCTAGTATTTGTCCGACGTACTCATTCGTGTTCGCTCCGTTCAAGTATCCCAGCGCGGACCTCAAATAATCCGACATATTTCTTTAAAAATATCCCTCGGAACCCCCAGAAAGCGTTCACCCACAATTACAATGCAGACAGCCGATGCTGTCCGGCCATACTGTCTTTGTGACGTCATCGTCAGTGCCGTACATATACATCTTCCGCATATCGCGGTGGTTGTTCAAAATAATTGTTGAGAAATTTATTTCGTTAAAAAGTAACTTGAGCCAAGTGTTATTAATTATTCGATTGTTCCGTTGGCCGTTTGACAATGGAATTTCCTTCTGAAGTCTTAAGTAGCAGCATACGGCTTTAAAGTTTAACGAAGAGTACCGACCGAATTTCAAACAGCACTCGGAACGTAGAACATTAATAATTAACAATACACATTAGCGCGTTACCGTGACACCGAGGGTTATATTATTACGAATGTTCGCAATTTATTCGACGACAATGAAAAATTGCGCATCGCGTATGGCATGAGGTAGCACCTCATTCATAAAGTCGATTGTCAACAAAGTTAAAGAAGACGGGAGAGAATTAATGTAATTACTCCGGTGGTATATACGTTCGTTTGAACTGTAAACAGTTTGAGATTTTGTTAATTTTTGTTCTATCGCTGTAACACGCAGCGAACGAAAGACATTATCGATACGATGAGTATCGTCGACAGGAAGAAAGAGATAATGATGTATGAATATCATTGTTTCATTTCCAGATTTTCTGTTACTTGAGTTGAGAGCATCATAATGTCTAAATTCGTGAAATTCACAAAGCTTAGGACTTCTACAGATCATACGTTCTGGGCGAAATTTGCAGAATTGAAAATAGACAAATTCAAATTGGATGAGACGGCGGTAATCAATGTTTGGGGAAATTACAATCTTCAGATTCTGAACGAAGCCAATGTCAATCCCATGGTATTGGACTTTGCAGCATTCAACGAGTAAGTCTACACGTGCACGGTTAAAGTATTAATTCACTAATTGTTTATTTGTAAAGTAAAATAAGCACTTGTTGGAATCAACTCCACATAGGTCATTTTTAGAGATGTTGAGACGATTCTTCATAATTCGTCAGTGGTTTGTTGTGGAAAGATGATTAATAAAAACACATTTGAGGCATTTAAACAAACCAATCCTGAGACGTTCATCGAATCCTTGGGAAAGGACCTTGTGGAAAGTATTATGGATGGATCTAGCTTAAAACAGCCCTGGAAGTTGTCGTTATTTTTATTATTGGCGTATTCAGATTTAAAGAAATATAAGTTTTATTATTGGGTTGCTCATCCTACTCCATTAAAATTACCTGAAATGTATTATGAAGAACCTCCGAAGCCGGTTAATGAAGAATTTACTCCAGCTCAATTACAGGACCTGAGTAAAGGGTTCTTTGAATTGCACAGTGGATTAAAGAACTATTTTACAGTTTTAATATCCTCTGAAAGTAAAATGATTATCAGTGATTTAGCAACAGGTGTAAATGTCATTGAAACGCATAAAGTTTATGAGAAAGAATCACAGGTATTGGATATATTTTTCTGCAACTGTGTTTTGTATCTTCCTTTACATATTGAGTTTACTTTTTTAGGAGTACAATGAAATTTACTTTGCATTTTATGATCCTTGTACAAGTTCGGAACCAGGATGGCCTTTACGTAATCTTCTGAGCCTATTACTTTGGCATTGTCCTACTTATTGTTTCACAAAAGTAATCAAAGTCATATCTATAAGAGGAAACAAGGCACAGAAGAGTATCGTGTACAAGCTCAAAGTCAAAAAATATGAAGACACTAAAAAAATAAGGGATACTCTGTTTCATAGTCATTTGGTTGGTTGGGAAAGTAACACAAATGGTAAATTAGGCCCTAATGTCGCCGATTTATCGGATACTATGGATCCAACGAGGTGTCTCTTCTGAATATGACGTATATCTGATATTTTTGTAAATAAAAAATTTCTTATTCTCGTTTCTTTGTTTGTCAGGTTGTCGGACAGAGCTATCAACTTAAATTTAAAGTTGATGAAATGGCGTCTCGTCCCAGATTTAGATTTAGAAAAAATAAACAGTCTTAGATGCCTTCTGTTAGGTGCTGGCACATTGGGCTGTTCGGTAGCAAGAGTACTCTTGGGCTGGGGTGTGAATAATATAACTTTTGTAGATAATTCTAATGTTTCTCACAGTAATACTGTGCGGCAAAGTTTGTACAGTCATCAGGATGCCGTGGAACATAAGTACAAGGCGTATGCTGCTAGAGATGCGCTGCTCAATATAAGGCCAAGCATAGTGGGTATTTAAATGTTCTGGTTTTTCCTATGAAACGAGGTTATTCTAATCGTATGACCAATACAGAATGCAGATGGTGTAATCTTACACATTCCAATGCCTGGGCATGTTGTGGGTGAAAGTATGATGGAGTCAACGAAGCAGTCATTAGAAAAATTGGAGGAGCTTATCAGAAACAATGACGTGATTTTTTTCCTATTGGATTCTAGAGAAGCTAGATGGTTGCCTACTGTTCTATGCGCAGCGATGAATAAAATCGCTATTAATGCAGCTCTGGGCTTCGATTCCTTCACTGTTCAGAGACACGGTACACGAAACTTTTCTGTTCCATCTTCTCCAGATTTAGAAGTGAAAAATCCTTGCGGCTTGGATCTGGGTTGTTATTTCTGCAACGACGTCACGCAGCCAGGAAACGTGTGTATATCATGACGCGCATTGATTTATTATTTAGTCAATTATTTATTGGAAACTGTTTATTTGCAGTCGCAAACCGATAGGACGCTAGACCAACAATGTACCGTGAGTAGACCAGGTTTGTCTCAGATTGCTGCTGGATTGGCAGTTGAATTGCTGGTAGGGTTGCTACAACACCCACAAGGGTAAACCAAAGACTTTTTTCAGAGCTATGTAGCATTTGAAAACGTAGATAATTGGCTTATTTATTTTATTTTGATATTGAACAGCATCGAGGCGAGGGCATTAATGGGTAGGAACAGGGAGAACATTAGTACCAATGACACAGACTTCGCTGGTCTGCTGGGAGGTGTGCCGCATACAGTGCGCGGATCCCTGTGGAATTATGATATGCAACTGACGATAACGCACAGATTCACAGCTTGTACAGCGTGTTCTGCGCCGGTTATCGCAGAATATAAAAATCGCGGCTTATCGTTTGTTATGGACGCGTGCAATGTTCCAAATTATTTAGAGAAACTGTCTGGACTAGAACAAATACTTAAGAGGACCGATTTGGACGAGGTACGCGTCTACAATGACGTTTATTGTATGCACAAGAATGTTGTTAATATCCTTGTACATTCATCGCTACGTTCTCCTTTTCAACCGCAGCTGTGTTACGCTTTGGATAATTTAAGCGACGGCGACGAGGACGATAACGAATCAAAAGCTGCACCTTAAAAGCCAAATATGCGGACCCGTACATTTTAAACTTGGATGGAAGTGCTTCATCGCCTACAGTTGAGAAATAATTTTACACGTCGAATAATTCTATTTAACAGTATCAGTATTTAAGGATCCACACGATTGAATTTTTTAGGAGGCTAATGGCCAAAAGTACGTGGATAATCTTATATACCTATTAATATTTATATTGACTTTGAATTTTCTTTCTATAAAATTGACAGTTGACATAAACACGTATGTCATTGTGACACACAATCCCAGAATTGTGGCTCACTATTATAGACATGACTCTCGCATAAATGTTTTATATGAATTCGCGATACTCGATGTATGAAAGTGTGATCACTTTTATAATCTCGTTTTTATCAATGGAACATGGATTAGAAACGAAGGAATAAACGATGTTGCATAAAATGTTTCAGTTGTCCGATAAGCATGGAACACCATATCCCTCGAACCCTGTTAACACCGCCAACATCTATCCTCAAATACTCAAAACTTAAGTCCCAACACCCAGAGCGAAGCAAAATACATTGATCAGGTAAAAGAATAAACTAAATTACAGTTTCTATATCGATTTAGAAAAATTCAATCAGAATTTACAATCTCTCCTATTCATCTGAAGTACAATAAAAAATCCGATACATTAAAATGCCTGGGAGCAATCGTTTTCGAATCAATAGGAAAAAAAGGTTCCTTGTGATCTTTCCAATCGGTCGTGTCCGGCTGTACAAATGCATCCGTCTGACTGTGTGTGTAGGTGCGCGCGCGCGTGTGTGTGTGCTACATCCTCCGTTGTGTTTTCACAGAGCGTGGCGCGTGGTTGGCAGTTTTGCCTGTAGAGCGCGTCACGGGGCAACCGAATACCATGCATTCCAGTGTAATGTTGAAGTGGTAGGGGAAGCGAGGCTACCTCTCGTGTCAAACAGTCCGTGTTCTGCGTGTCCGCCCGCATACCATTAGATTTTCATCGTTTTCAATGAAAATACGTGCTCCGTGCGGTCTCGGGATGCCAGGAAACGTCGCAGCGGACGTTTAATCGTGTGTCCGGACAGGTGTCATCGCGCAACGCTACGTAAGTAAACGCACATTTCAAAGGGGAAAAAACCGTTCAATTTTACGTCGAGGAATGCGTGCCTCATTCCTCTTCTTTTTTTTCCATGCTACGCCGCCGCATTCCTCTATCGATTCTTGTGACCGACGGACGCGGTGTACACGGGTAAACGGTGTGCTTTTCCACCGTTGCCCACCGAAAATTCGCTTTTCTCGATCTCCCCTACCCGGTTTTCCCCGTTGTTTTCCTTTCGAGCGGAATTTCCTTTTCCTTTTCTTTTTAGGCTTTCTTTCGGGGTTCGTTCGGCAATTTTCGCCGATGTGC